AGAGAGAGAGAGAGAGAGAGAGAGAGAGAGAGAGAGAGAGAGAGAGATCTGATCTAACCTTTCTCCCTCCCTCCCTCTCTCTCTCACACACACACAAACACAGAGGTGGGATTCAAATTTCTTAACAACCGGTTCTGTGGGCATGGCCTAATTTGTGGGTGTGGCTTGGTGGTAATAAATATAATAGTGGGACTGGCTGGGCATGGCTTGTACGTAATAAATATAATAAATATTTATTTATATAAATATTAGATAAATAAATATATAAAATGTTGAATTTTTTATAAACAAGAGCAACTTTTACCCAAAATCAGGCAAAGCAGGCAGGCAGATTGAGTTGCTCACAGAATCACAGATTCACTTAGAGATCAGTGTTTCTGCCATCTGCTAGCTGAGTCTGCACTGCTTCAGTCCTAAGGAAGGTTCGGTTCTGCTTGAAAGCAGAGTCGAAGATCTAAAGATTAGCTAGAAAGCAAGAAATCCAACAATTTCCTGCTTTCTAGCTAATCTAAATCTCCCAGCACAGCAGAACAGATGATGGTCGGAAAAAGGAAAAATATCAAATTAGCAGGCAAGTTTGCCAGGTAAGGAGTGAGTGGGCGGGGAGGGCAGACCATGTGGGTGGCATAGACTTATGTTCCTGCCCCGCCTGGATGGGGGGTGCTCTGGGGGTGACATTTCTCTGCGGACCACCAAAATTTTCTCGCGGACCATCAGTGGGCCGCGGTCCACCAGTTGGCGACTGCTGATCTAAATCATTCATCTAAATATTCACCATAATTAAAGTCAGTTTTTCTGTTTATTATTGTAAGCTTCTCCTATTGTCATCTCAGGGAAATTGATTAAATCACATAAAATGAAATTCCACATAGAAAAGTAAGAAGATATACTTTATTTCACTCAGATCAGAGGAGAGAATTGCTGCAAGGCAATTCCCTGAGGATCAGATATCACAAAAAACAACATATTCTTGCCCCCAAAAAAACTTTGTTTCCAAGAGAGGTGTCAGTTTTTGAGAGTTTTAATCAATGTCCTTTTCATAAGAAATGTTGTGCAGTAAATAAAGAATAACACAGTTGAGCATCAAAACAGTTCTTTTAAATATAACATAAAAATGCTGGCACATATTTTTAACAAACCTTGTTTCAAAAATGTTTGTGCTCAAATACTTTATATTTAAGAAATGCAGTACATTTCTCCTAATGTATCAGTCAGCCTAATGCAAACTAAACCTAACCCTAAGAAAATACTATACATAAAATTATAACATAATTTTACCTGTTTTGTTCAGTGCCAGCTTGGAATTGTCCAGATTTCTCAACAGAGGAACTTGCATGCTGGCCTGGTACAGAGACTCCAGCTCAGAAACCTCCTGTACTGTTTCCTGATTCTGCACTGGGTAGTCCTCAAAAGCTCTTTGACTGATCACAGGTGATTTGTTTCCAGGTATCAAAAGACAACTGGCATTCTTATGCTGAGTTACTGCTGTGCTAAAATTGTTAACATGATCTGTGCAGCTCTCTATAGCCACAGATGAAATCGAGCCAGCAGGATTTCTGTAATTGGTGTATTTTGTTTTTGGACTTGTGTCCAACGTTTCAGCAGGTGCAATTCCATTCTCCTGTCTTCCAACATCTGACAGCTTGAGGTAAAAAGGACTACTGTAGGATTCCTGCTGTAACTTTGGAGTATTTTGATCATGACAGGTAGCTGCCTTCCTTTTTTCCTCATATTTATCTAGCCTTTGGAAATTTCCCTCCAACCATTGAAACTGTTCTGCAATAGAAAGAACAGGCCTTTTGCTACTTACACCTTCAGATTTCAAAGAATCCCCACTGACAAGTTCTTGTGGATGATGTAAACCCCCAAGTTGCCCAGTCATCTTTAATTCTTCTGGAGCATAATGAGGCAGAGGGGGAAGAGAAGGCAGTATTGCACCATGATAGTCCCCAGGTGGAGCAGCACTAGGCCATTCTGAAATGCTTCCTGAATTGAAAAGCTGATTAGATTGGCCTTTTTTGTCAGGTGGACTTTCCAATGGTGGTGAAGAGGGGAAGAGTGTAGGTAATGATTCAGAGTTTGTTATAGTTAAATTCATTTTGCAGTTGGAGGTGAGAGGGGATCCGGTATTATGTAGGTTCTTGACCTTAATGTTACTGTTGTGATCTTCGTAATCTTTTAAAGTGCTAGGAGAAGCAAGTTTCACATCACCATCAATTTCAGTCTTAGTCTGAATGGACTGGTCACTACCAGGTTGTCTATAAGAAAAAGTAGCAGCTTGGTCACTGAAAGTAACAGACGCAGCTTGAAAGTTCAGTCTGTTCTCAAGAAGAGGTTGGAATGTGGGTTTGGAATAGGATTTCTTTTCAGGATGGGAAGCAAGTGGATGGACGGAGGACCTTGACCCAGGTGCTGCTCCTTGGCTAGGTTCCAGCACTCTCTTCTGTTTCAGCAGTACTTGGAGTGGGATAGTCTGTTTACTGAAGCACACATAAGATCATCATCAGTGACTGATGATTCCTAATTAGAAATATTAGGCTAAGTTAAAAAGGTACATAATATTAGTACTAATTAAAAAGGTACATAAATTTATCAGAGTATCAGGTATCTGTGAGTGTAAAATTGTTGCATGATTGCATACAGAATTGCTAACCGGATAAGAAATTTTTCTGGTATCAGAATGGCACCAAGAACAATTATCTATTTTGGTAAAAATATTTTTTTTATTGAAAAATATGATCAACAATTTCAACCTCAGGAATGTATGTATGTTAATATATTCTTGAAGTTTTGAAGATGAGTCAAATGGAAAATATCCTCATCATGGACTAAGAACATGTAATTCTTTACTGTACCAGAATTACAATCACATATCACATTATAGTAGAATTCTTCTTTTTCCTCTTTCCCCCATCTGTAAATGTTCAAAAAATGTCAACCATTTACAATATGATGCAATCAATGTCTACTGAGAAATAGTGACTACATATATAGAAATGGTGTACACTAATGTTAATTAGATAACAGGTTTATTTTTAAATGAATATTATAAAATTATGCATAAAATAGTATGGGGGAAATCAGTTTATTTATTTATTTTCATGTATAATTGTATTACAACTAAGTACGTTTAAATTAGGCTAACAACCTGCACTGCTGTGAACAAACTCTGAAAAACTCTTTAATAAGAGTTCCACTTATTATAAATATCACAACTCTTTGACAGTAAAAACAAGGGATTGTAATAATAAATGTATGCTGGGTGAGTTATTTTCCCATGACCAGAAACCACAAGGACAATTATGAAAACTGAGGCAATATTAATCGAGCTTTTTTTTTTTTTCCTTGCACCTTTCCAGTCAGTGTTGATTCCTGACAGCAGCTTCAGTTTTCTCAGTAAGACTTCAGAAGTGGTTTCTGTTGCCCCCTATCTGGGGCTGAGAGAGAGTGAATGACCCAAGGACATTTGATGCCCAAATACGACTACACCTTGTGCCTTAACCACTATAAACAAACTGGTTCAAAGTAAATGAAAATTAGTTTAACATTATTTTGAAAAGATGGGCCAAACATTTTACTTCATTGCCCTCTGAATGATGCATGCAGTCCCTGACCATAAATATGTAGTTTTGCAAAAAAGAAAGAGAAGGCTGGAAACTACATGAAAAGATCCTTAAACTAGTCATTTTCCTATATTATAACAACAACTTTAACAAACAACGTCTGCCTATCCCAGGTCCTTGGGAAGGACTTGATAAGTGAATAAAAATGCCAAATCTAGCCTAAATCATTACTGGCTGCTACTGAGAAAATCTGTCAATTGCAAAAGGCCACAAGGATTCCACATATACCATGCCAATACATTACAATATACTGGGTTCTTGGGAAGAATTCAATTCTAAAGAGTTGACAGCTGTGACTTGGTTGTTTACATTATTGTAAACAGATAAAGATCCTAATGAGATGCTAATAATGTATATCTGATCCTGATTTATAGTTTGCTATAATTTCTGCTTAAGGTCATATTCTTGTTATTGGCTATCATGTTACTATTATGATACATAATCGAAGATATCATGATGAACAATTTGGTATAAAAATATCCAGGTCTCTTTCAGAGAAATCATAAGGGAAAAATTCTAGCTCTTTTGCTTATGAAAAAAATATTGCTTGTTCTAAAATCTTTCAAGTTCAAATAACAAAAAGTAATTTTGGAAGTGCAGGAAACTCCCACATATACTTTCCAAACAATTATTTACAGTCATTCAGAAAACTCTGATTGCACTGCCAAAACATGGTAATTTCCTAATATTTTTTTTGCTAATTTTAAGATTAAAAAAAGAATTAAAAACTAACAACTATACCCAAACAGAAAGGATTATTTAGAATAATATTCCAATATTTATTAAAACTAAAAAAAATACCTGGTTAGTTTAGGATATAGCATCTTCTATATCTGTACCTACTGCAGGACCTCAAGTAGCATAGATTATTAAGGTGATAATTTTATAAACCAGCATTGTTTATTAGAAACCAACATGGGTTTATCAAGAATAAATCATGTCAAATGAATCTGATTTGATAGTGTGACCAGCTTAGTTGGCAATAAAAATGTGGTAGACTTCAACAATGTAAGGGTCTCAAAGTAAGGCAAAGGCTCTCATAAAATTCTTGTAGAGAAGATGATAAGAACGGGCTAGATTGTGCTACCATTACATGGGTACAAAAGTGGCTGACTGAATGCCCCTCCACCAATTAATTCAAATGGCCCTGTGTCAAAATTGAGAGAAATGTCAATTGGTGTATGGATTTCCATTCTTATACTTCCACTCTTGAACATATTTATAAATAACTTGAATGAGTGGTTAGAAAATATCAAATTTGCAGACTACACAAACATTTGAAATTATAAAGATTCAGGAGGATATTGACAAGCTGGAACAATCAACAATGATCAGCAAAATTAATTTTGCCAGGGATAAAGTTCAACACTGGAATAGTTTTGTTTTTTTTAAACCAAGTATGCCTGCAGAATATGGGCTTTGATACACTTGAAAATGACCTGGACTACAAGCTAAATATGAATCAATAGTGTGATGCTGCTAAGCTGCTAAGAAGAACATGCAATTATACAGTAGTGTCAAGATCAAAAGAACATGCATTTTTTCTCTTTATATATGTGTATATACAAATCTTTCTTTGTTCTCTGTGTGTATGTGTGATTTTGTGTGTGAGAGAGAGGTGGATTTAACTTGCAATGCATTCAGAAAGTATTCAGACCCCTATCACATCTGTCAATTTTGTTATGTCTGATTCTACACTTGTTGAAAGTCATTTCTTTCTCATTAATCTACACTTAGTACCTCACAATGACAAAGTGAAAACAGAAGCTTAGAAATATCTGTAAATTTATTAAAAAGAAAACTGAAATGTCACATTGGCATAAGTATTCAGGCCCTTTGCAATAACACTTGAAATTTAGCTGAGGAGCCTCCCGTGTCTCTTGATCACTGCTGGCATGTTTTTACATCTTGATTGGAATCCACCTGCGGTAAATTAAATTGATTGGCATGGTTTGGAAGCCACACATCTCTCTATAGAAGGCCTCACAATGCATACTGTAGCACAGGGGTGGGCAAACTACGGCCCGCGGGCCACATCCGGCCCGTTGGTCTTTTTAATCCGGCCCGCCGAAGATTGGTACAGAATTAAGGTTTGATGTGAATGATTGAATGATTGCATTCATTTGATTTTGACTTGTAATGACAGGCATTTCGACACCAGGTAGCGCATTAGGCGCAGTGACTTGATTTTGAGGAGATTTTGCAGTTTTTTATATGTATCGTATCTTGTGCTGACCCGGCCCGTCTGTCAAATTTTAAAAGTCAATGAGGCCCCCGAGCCAAAAAGTTTGCCCACCCCTGCTGTAGCAGATCAAAAGCCATGAGGTCAAAGGAACTGCCTGCAGAGCTCAGAGACAGGATTATTGCAAGGCTGATCTGGGGAAAGCTACAATAAAATTTCTGCTGCACTGAAGGTCCCTAAGAGCACAGTGGCCTCCATAATTCTCAAATGGAAGAAGTTTGGGACAACTAGAACTCCTCCAAGAGCTGGTCACAGGGTCAAACTGAGCAATTGGGGGAGAAGGGCCTTAGCAAGAGAGGTGACCAAGAACCCAAAGGCCACTCTGAGAAGTGTAGAGATGGGACAGAGTTCCAAAAGGAACTGCAGCCCTCCACCAATCTGGGCTTTATGACAGAGTGACTAGACAGAAGCCTGTCCTCAGTGCAAAATACAAGAAAGCCTACTTGAAATTTGCAAAAAAGCACTTGAAGGACTCTCGGACTGTTAGGAACAAGATTCTCTGGTCCGATGAAACTAAGATTGAACTGTTTGGCCTCAATTCTAAACTTTATGTCTGGAGGAAACCAGGCACTGCTCATCACCTGCCCAATATGCCCAACTGTGAAGCATGGTGGTGGAAGCATCATGTTATGGGGGTGTTTTTCAACAGCAGGGGACTGGGAGATTGGTCAGGGTTGAAGGAAAGCTGAATGGAGCAAAGTACAGCCTCAATGAAAAACTTTTGCACAGTGCTCAGGATCACTTTCTAACATGACAACAATCCTAAGCACACAGCCAAAACAGCACAGGAGTAACTTAGGGACAACTCTGTGAATGTCCTAGAGTGCCCCAGACAGAGCCCTAACGTAAACTCTATTGAACATCTTCAGGAGGGACCTGAAAATGACTGTCCATTGACGGTTGCCATCCAACCTGACTGAGCTTGAGAGAATTTGCAAGAAAGAATGGCAGAAAATCCCCCCGTCCAGATGTGCAAAGCTAGTGCCATATCCCAAAAGACTTGAGGCTGTAACTGCTGCCAAGAGTGCTTCAATAAAGAAAGTATCGAATGAAGGATCTGAATACTTATGTCAATGTGATATTTCTGGGTTTTTTTCTTTTTAATAAATTTACAGACATTTCTAAGATTCTAAATAGTTCATGAAAGCTGCTAATGACACAGATACAGATACTTATCCCGAACTAATGCCCACTTTAAGCCATAGAAACAAACAACAGAAAGAACTGAAGGAGTAGCTATTGTTTAAAGATTTCACAGAAAACTTTGGCACGCATAATTTCTGTGCAGTAATATGTGTGCCCTCTTATTTTTGAATCTATCTATCTATCTATCTATTTTTGAATCTACAGTTTCCCAATTATATTGTCACTTCCCAGCTGGATCCATACTGTAGATACTAACCCTGCATCAAAGTGTAAAAAGATCTGAGTAAAATAATTAGGTTTCTAATAACAGGGAAACTTATTGTTCAATGCTTCTTTCCAGATCAGGCCCAATTCAGATCTGGAGAATGGCAGATTTTTTTTAGTCTACCTTGTAGTTTGGGTCATGTTGCCGCCCGGTGGTGGGTGGCAGGTGGGTGGCGGTTGTACAGGTTGCTGTTGCTGCATGCGATCCTGAAGGCTCCGCTCTTTTCGGACATAGATTTGCAGCTTCTTATCGATTAGAGCTCTGCTCTGAGTGCTAGAGCTGACATCATGCATGGCAAGTCTTAGTTTAGCTAAAAAGCAAAAGAAAACATAGCAGAAACAAAAGCAAAACTCGGGGAAGGAGAGAAAAAAGTAATGATGCAGCAAAAAAATAAAAAGGAAACATGCAAATACTGCCATGAAAAAGTTCACAAGGATGCATTTCTTCCCAATAAGGCACATTCATATTAGCTACATGTCCAAACAAGTTAATGAGAAATAAAATAGTAAAATTAAGCAAGATTTTGAATGTTGTTTTTTTAATGAAATGCCCTTGGTGACTTAAGTCACTGTAACCCTCATGTAACTAACCATTTAAATCCAAATACTTTTCTCTAGTCCCAGTTAGCTGAAACCCAATAATAGGCAGCCAGGTGAGACATTTGCTGGCAAGCTTTCATGAAGTCTGCTTTTGCTTTCTTGTTTTGTTAATCCATTATAGAAGATTTCTAGAAACAAATGCTGTTAATAATCCAAAGCCAGTTTGTCTGCAACCTTGCTAACCAGCAAGAAGAGAATGGAAGATGGGAAGGAGAATTAGCCAATCAAAAATATGAGATATGAAAATAAAAAAAATGCAGCAGCACAAATTCCCAAAAGTTACAGCACATATTTAAACAATGACCCCTCCTTTTCCTCATCTTCTTGATATTTCAACGACTGTATACATTTTTATTTTTGTATGTTTGAGCAACTTCATGCTTTATTAAAATTTTTTGATAAACTAGTTTCCGAACTCAGAAAATTATGTGCAGGAAAAAATGCAGGAAAGCATAATTAGCAGAATAGGTAGCATCGAGAATTCATCTGCCCTGCTCACCTTTCAACAGAAGGAACCCCAATAATAAAAAAAGAATAGTATTTTCTGATATTACAAGGAAGAAATAACAAAAAAATCAGAAAAAGACATCTTTTACATCGCTCCCTTTCTGAATGTTAGTTTGCATTAAACCGTTAATTCTGTTAACTTGGGTTATGTTAATACCGTGTTTCTCACAAAATAAGGCTGGGCCTTATTTTTTTGGGAGCCCCGAAAAAACGGCTAGGCCGTCTTTTCGGGGGTGACTTAATCCCCCCCTTACATCCTCGGGCAGGAGGGCGGCGACGGCTTCGATGTTGACCTCGGCGTTGGTGGGGCACTTCGTATCGGGAGACCTTTCGCCACCGTTGCTTTCCCTTCTCCCCGTGCTGCCGTGGCATTTAGAGCAACGCCGTGTTTGACGCAGCCACACGCGGCCAGCCAGGCCGCCTCCCTGCAACAAGAGCCCGGCGGAGACACTTGGCTTCAGGTGTTCCTGTCGCCGCCTTCCCTTCGCCTTTGAAGGCAAACCCAATTCTTTTAAAAGCGACACCCTGCTACCAGTATGACAAAGCCTCCCCTGCCCGAGAAGGCAGCCCAACCCCATGTGAGGAGGCAAATCTCCCGGGGCCGCAGTGCAGGATCGGCCCGCCCTGGGAGAAGTGCCCAGCAGCCATCCCTGCCTGGCGCTGGGCAGCGCGTAAAGAGCTTCACCTGGGGTGCCCAGCGCAGCTGACAGGCGGGCCATCCTGCCTGGCGGTGGAGCTCTTGCCAAGGCAGCGAGTGCCTCCCCGCCAGGCCCTCCGCTCATCCCGCCAGGGCCACGCCAGAGCCATGGGGGCTGGACAGAGCCAGGAAAGCAAGCTGCGGGTGTGCACCCGCCTGCCAAGTGAAAGATCCGGGCTGACCCGAGCTTGGCTTCCTTCCCAAGTCCCTCTAGCCCGAACCCGAAGGGGCCACCAGGAGAGGCTGCCCGAGGCAGTGATAGCGCCCACCCGTCCGCGGACAGGGAGGCTGTCAGCCTCAAGATATCTTCACCCCTAACTATCAAGATATCTTCACCCCTAACTATTGCTTATTTGTTGCTATGCTCTTTTTCTCTCTTTCGGCTGTCATGAAACGGTGGGAGGGGGGGAGTCTTGGAGGGGAAGAAGGCAGGAGGTGTTTTGCATTCCTTTGCTGGGTTAAGAAAGGGAGGGGGGATTCTTTGTTTTAACTTTCCATTTCTTTGCTAGCCTCTGTCCTTTTTCTGCGCAGCTGCGAACTTTTATCAAAATATGTCAAGGTCACTGACAGTAGCCTCATCATCACCTGGAGATGACCACATGATCCTATTCAGAAGTTTTAATTGGAAGAATCATTTGATCTTTGGAGGGGGGGAGCAATTATATCCCTTTGTATATGCATTTTACCCGCCAATATCTCAGTTTCGGAATTGATTCTGTTGCTACCATTCAATTTCCAGTAAAAGAATAATTCTGCTCTACACCATGGAGTCTGAGTATTTCTTTCTTGGGATTTAGAAGGAGCACAGTCTGACAGAGGCAAGGTGACGACAGCGCTGCTTCCCTGGCCGGCGGGTCCAGTGGAGAGAGCCCGAAGCTGCCCGTCCTTTCCACCCCTCGCCCAGCCCGTCCCTGTCCCCATGCATCTCCAAATGCGCCAGCAGCTCAAAACTCTGCATTGGGCAGAGGCGCTCACTTGGCGGGGCTCAGCTCGGAGGAGGCCACGGCGCAGGCCGTCGCCTTGCCTCCCTGTCCACGGATGGGTGGGCGCTATCACTGCCTCGCGTGGCCTCTCCCGGTGGCCCCTTCGGGTTTGGGCTGGAGGGACTTGGGAAGGAAGCCAAGCTCGGGTCGGCCCGGATCTTTCGCTTGGCAGGTGGGTGTGCACCTGCGGCTCGCTTTCCCAGTTCTGCCCAGCCTGCACGGCTCTGGCGCAGCCCTGGCGGGATGAGCGGAGGGCCCGGCGGGGAGGTGCCCGCTGCCTTGGCGAGAGGTCCGCCGCCGGGCAGGAGGGTTCACCTGTCAGCTGCACTGGGCGCCCCAGGTGAAGCTCTTCACGCTCTGCCCGGCGTCAGGCAGGGATGGCGGCTGGGCGCTTCTCCCAGGGCGGGCCGATCCTGCGCTGCGGCCCCAGGAGATTCGCCTCCCCACGTGGTGTTAGGCTGCCCTCTCGGGCAGGGGAGGCTTTGTCGTACCGGTAGTAGGGCGTCATTTTTAAAAGAATTGGGTTTGCCTTCAAAGGCGAAGGGAAGGCAGCGACAGGAGTGCCTGAAGCCGAGTGTCTCTGCCAGGCTCAGGTTGCAGGGAGGAGCCCTGGCTGGCCGCGTGTGGCTGCGGCGTTGCTCTAAATGAGAAGGGAAAGCAATGGTGGCGGAAGGTCTCCCGATATGAAGTGCCCCACCAACGGCGAAGTCAACACAGGCAGCACCATATCCGGGTATGCAACAGAAGTACTTCCTAACAGCAAGTCCCCCCGCCATTCACCCCTATTTCGCATGTTTAATATAGGCCTTAATTTGGGGGGGAGGGGCTTAATTTGATTTTATGCCTATAAAACATGCTGGGACTTCCTATTGGGAGAGGCCGTATTGTTGGAGAAACACAGTAGATATTAGTAAACTGTACAAAATAGAGTAAGCTGAAGCAATTAATAAATACTTACATATAGCTTCATTGCAGAGAGCCAAAGCTGCAGCACAATCTCCCTTCTGCTCTTGATGCAGTGACTCTTGGAAGACTGAATCTGCCTCTTGTATAGGCCTCTCAAAGCCACCAGTCCTCCCTGCAAGGGCAGCATTCTTGGTTTCCATTCCAGACTTCTTTCCCTCTTCATCTAAACAGCCACCTCCCATACCCACCCTTCTGGGTGACCAGACTTTTTTCTAATATTCATATTGCAGATCACATATCCTGAACTTTAGTTCTTTGAAACCTCTGGAACCAATGCTAGAAATATGTATCAGAAGCAAAGACATGTATAATGTTAAAATAATGTTCTAGGTCCCTTTTCTAAGCTGGGATATTGCAAGCACCAGCAGCAATTTATTTATTGAGAGGTACACCAAAGAGAGGCACACTCGTGGAGCAGCTACGGAGAAAATGGGGTACAGACACGGGTTGGATTAAAACCGGTTCGGACTGGTTATATAGAACTAAGTTGTTATGATTCTGCGCAGTTCGGAGAACCAGCAAATCATGCCCCTGGCTAGCTCCCTCCCTCTCTGTCCCCCCCCCAGTCAGTCCTTATCACACATGCGCAACACTGTGTGCATGCCCGACATCGCTGACTGCATTCTTCCCAGCCCTGTCACTCCTTAAGGTGGTTCTTTTTCTTCCCCTCCCGACGATCAGCTGTTCCTATGATCAGCTGTTCCAGGATTCCCCTCGCTTACTTACTGCTTTGCCCAGGAACCTTCCTGGGCCCCAGGGAAGCTTCCTGGGAGCAAAAACGCCCCTCCCAGGAGGCTTACCTGAGGCCCAGAAGGCCCCAAAACGGAGCGGGGTGGGGTGCTGTGCATCCCACCCAGGCTCCATTTTTTTCCTTCCTAAGCCCCAAGGAAGCCATCTGGGAGCAACCCCCCCCCAGGGCTTCCCTGAGGCCGAGAAGGCCCCAAAAGAGAGTGCTGCATGCCCCCCCATGCTCTCTCTTTTTCCTTCCTGAGCACCAGGGAAGTCTTCTGGGAGCAAAGTGCCCCCCAGGAGGCTTCCCTGCGGCCCAGAAGGCCCCCAAATGGGGGGGTTACTGCCCCCCAAAAGCCACACCCACCCAGTCACATGGCCACGCCCACCTTTCCATGCCCACAGACCCGGTTGTTACAAAATTGTAATCCTTCCCCTGGGTACAGAGACTTGTTTTATAAGGGGGACTGGTCCTTGGTATGGGCTTGAGGTGTGTGGTGTATGTGCTGCTTCTAGTGCATGACTCAGTCAATTTCCTGATAGCTTGCCCTATTCTGCTATTGTCAGTTGATAGCTTAGCAGAGATGCAATGTAGCAATCTGTTGTTACAATGTACCTCCCAGAATTTCCAATTTCAGTGGATCATGGATTTGTGTTAATGGTTAAGGGATAGGTGAGACAGCGAGAGAAATAGTTAATTTGGAATAAAAAATATCCTATGATTACTATTGATTATTAAAATAAAATTCTTTCCACAATAACAAGGGAAGTTATACAGCATAGAGGGCTGGAACTGGGTCTTATTAACCTGCTAATGAAACCCAGTTTTACAAATCAATTTAATAATGAGCTGCAGTACACACAGAATACTTGGAAATTAAATCCTATGAAAAATGATTAAAAGAAAAGGGCCAGAGAGGACTAAAAAGAGTCATGGGAGCAGCCTTTCAATATTTGAAGACCATCACAAGCAAGAGGGTATGGATTTATTCTTCATTGGTATGGAGCCTAGGATAAGAACCAGTGAATGGAAGCTTTGTAGAGAGAAATCGAAACCTGAAATAAGAAGGAATTTCTTGACTGTTACAGCTATGTATTAAGTAGTGGAACAGCTTGCTTCCTGAAGTTGTGATGGCTCATCACGGAAGGCTTCAAATAAAGACTGGATAAGCCTTTGCTGTGATAGTCTAATTATTACTGCCTTATACAAGGGGTTGAACTATAAGACTTCTAAGGTCTCTTTCAATCCCATGATTTCTAAGCGGCATCTATATTAGATAAGGTTTGAATATGTTATTAAGATTTTTACAAATTTTTAAATTTAAATCTAAATTAGAAATGTATTTTTTTCTTGGTGGTATGCTCCTGCTTTAAATTATGCTGACTTTTGATGATATTATTTATTCTTCTGAAAGTTCAGTGTTTCCCAATACATTTGTACTGAGTAAATCATTAGGCAATTGGAGAATGAATGAATGTTTTTTTTTAATTTTAACTTCTTTGTAATGTCCTATGGTATTCTTTTGAGAGCCATTGAAATGGAAGGCTAGGCAAAGGATTATCCTTTGCATTCTTATTGTTAAGAAAGTTTCTCCAATGTTTACTTCAATATTGAAAAAATAAATTTATGGTCCCAATTAATCAGTAGATTGAAAACCTGTGATATATAAACACGATGCTTACAGAAGTATATTAAATATAGAATAGAATAGAGCTGGAAGGGACCTTGAAGGTCTTCTAGCCCAGTCCCCTGCACAACCAAGAAAACCTATACTATTTCAGATGTGACTGTCTAATCTTCTTAAAAACCTCCAGTGATGGAGCTTTCACGATTTCTGAAGGCAAGCTTGTTCCACTGTTATCCTCACTGTTGTCCGCATTGTTCTCACTGTTAAGAAGTTTCTCCTTAATTCCAGGTTGTTTCTCTCTTTGGTTAGTTTCCAATCATGGTTTCTTGCCCTGCCCTCTGGTGCTTTGTAGAATTTGATCCCCTCTTCTTTGTGGCAGCCCCTCAAATGCTTGAATACCACTATCATGTCATCCCTAATTCTTTTCTTTATATTAGCCAAACCCAAATCCTGCAGCCATTCTTCTTATGTTTTAGTCTCCAGGCCTTTGATCATCTAATGGATAATTCCAACAAAACTCTGTAACTATTGAATAAATTTTACATGCATATCTACATATATAAGAAGCCTTTGTATATAGTTGCTACTATTTTATTTTGAATTGGGTTTTTCTTTTGTCTTTTTTATTCTACTAGGGCTTTTTTTTGCCTCGATTTATTAAATAATGCCAAAAAACGATTCTTTACAAAAAAAATTTTTTTTACAGTTCATATGTTTTTCTTTCTGAATGCATAGCAGATTAGTATGCTTTCTATTGTAATTTTTCCAAGCCCATATTATCTGATACACATATTACCTTGAGTTTGCAGTTCATCCAGATCCATGAATCTGCTTGGGTGGGGATTAAAGCCCAAGGCTGCCTCTAGTTCCTTTTCCTGCTTCCTCTGGAAGTCTTGCTCCTGGACCTTTCTTGCTACTTCTTCTTGTAATTCATCTAGTTCACTCTTGGAAGAAACAAATATCTCCCCACCTTTAGAGGTGTGAAAAACCCAAAATGTTTCATCTTATTAAGCATTATTTAATTACTACATTCTTTAAATTTATTGTTTTCTGTGCTTCTTATAAGGCTAGTTTTCTTAAATGAACTGTAGCTAATAGAAATTTTGAGTCAAACAATAGCTTCCAATGAAAGGTTTATCAAGGAAATAAAAATAGTTTATAGAATGTCTTCTGGGTTAGGTTTACAATGGTTGTAGATTCAGCCATACAGTATTTTTGTGGGTGCAGTACCTAATATCATCTGCTGCTGTTTGTGTTGCTTCTTTCTCATATAAAAAGCTCAAAATTCTATTGGCATTTGTCATAAGGGAATTGATGTAGTTCCCCACTCATTTTGCCTCAGTTTTCCCAGCTACAGGTAGTTGTTTATGACTATTTATTTAACCACCTTTACGACAGTGCTGAAAAAAGTGACAAAGACCAATCCTCACACTTACAATTGTCACAGCATCCCTATGGGCATGTGATCAAAATTTGGGCACTTGCATATATTTACTATGTTTGCAGCATCTTGGGGAAACAATTTGCCAGGGGCTTCTGACAAGCAAAGTTGGGGGAAGCTGGATTCACTTAATGACCATATACTTATTGATCGTGATGATTCGTTTAACGACTATGGCAAAAATTTCATAAAATCAGATGTAACTCACTTAGCAATTGCGTGTTAGCAGTGGAAGTTATGGTCCTAATAGTGGCTGTAAATAAGTGGTACGGATTACCTGTATATTTTGCTGGTTTGCAATTATTTGAACTACCTAGGGTTTAAAGTCCACTTTCATAAAGTATGGTCTTATGAGTAGTTTTACTAATGATATTGGTAGTTTCCTAGTGATTACTAGCATAGTCTAACTTTTTCTTGCTGGCACACACTGAGTTTATATTGGGCTATCCACAATACATTCAAGGTCCCTTTCCTGGTCAGATGCCATCTTTGAACACAGGACAATGACCTAGGAAAAAGAGGAAATTACAATATGATCCAGGTATTGCAAGTATTTGGAGAATGACACCTTACCATTACCAAAAGAGTATTTATTTTTTCTCCTGCAGGTTGTAGACGAGGCAGACTCTACTTCCAAGATGCTACTGCTATGTGATTTTGGAATATTATGCCAGGCAGGAATAATATCTCCAGTTCGTTTGATATCCCTTTAAAAAGAAAAAAAATCCTTTATTTTCTCATGAAACACTTTCACTTTTCTTTGTAAAGTAGCAGTAAAAGTCCTAAGTTTACTACTGAATTACATTATTTTGAAAAATTAAACATTTGCATCATAATCCTATATGTATTTTTTCAAAAGCAAGGTGACTAAGACTTTTGGATGTATAATAGATATATGATTAAATAATTAATTATCCCTTCCTTTCAGTGGCTGGGAGCTTACAAAAACACTATTCTTATCCACAATGAATGCCAACTGGAACTCCTGTCAACCAGGGTGTCAGCTAGCATGCTGCTTGCTGACATAGAAAAGGGGGGAGGGATCAATGGGGATCAATTCTTCCCCAAACCCCAAAAACTTTAACCTTAGACTGTCTACTATTAACCTCACCCCTTTCCTAAGAGGTCTGTAGGGGGCGTGCATAAGCGCACCAACGTGCCTACCGTCCCTGTCCTATTGTTTCTCTTATTCTTCTTTTATTTTTCTTATATGTACCCATTTCATGTATTCACAACTATGTATACACTTATACTTATTATCTTGTAAACAATTGGCAAATCAAATAAATAAATAAAATAAATAAATAAATAAATGGATAATTTTTCATTGTAGCTTTTGAACTACGGCCTGGATTTCACTTATCTCCCAAGGCCATGTCTATTAGCTCTGGTATGCAGTAGCCTCTGGTTGCCTAGCTACAGCCTCTAGTTGCCTAGTTACAAGGGGGTTGGGCTGTACAGTTTATTTCAAGTTACTGTTTCCCTGCGCTTTGCCTCAGAACTTGCCTGGAATTTGTTGCTTTCCTAGTAAAAGTAATTTCTCTAAATCTTTTTTAAAAATAAACTTTATTAAAGATTAAAAAGAAAAATATGTACAATACATAGAATACAACCTTTCATTACAAACAAAATCAATATACAAATACATAACAAATAAACATAAAAAACATTTATGTTTCTAATCAACTAAGACGGTGTGATCTTTTATTGAAAACAATTTTATTAATATTCAGTTCCTGATTTTGGTAAATGTTCTTAATTTAACCACTTCATTTTTCAAATTCTTATCTTTTAATTCCCTGGTTTTTTATCCTTAATCCACTTGTGCCATTTTTCCCAACCTGTACTATGTCTTGAATCTTCCTTATCCCTAAGTTTTTGTGTAAGTAGGTCCATTTCAGCGCAGTCAAGAACTTTCTGAATAATCAATTTTTTTGTTGGCATTTGGTCACCCTTCCAGCATTGTGCCAACACAATTCTTGCTGCCATAATTATATGGAGAATTAAATATTTCATTTCTTTTGCATAGTCCTCTTTTAACATTCCCAACAAAAATATTTCGGCCTTAAGTTCTAGTTGGATATTTGTAATTTCTTTCATCCAAATTCTAATTTTTTTCCAGTATTTTTTACTTTTTGGGCAAAGCCACCAAATGTGGAAGAAGGTACCCCATGTTTGCTTACATTTCCAGCAAGTCAGACTTAAGTTTGGGTATATATTCGCTAATCTTGAGGGTGCCAGGTACCACTGGTAACATATTTTATATTGATTTTCTTTATAGGCAGCTGATTTTCTTCCGCTAATGCTGCATAGAGTTTTCCTAAATTTTTATATTGTAGGTATTTCTTATCCTGAGCTCTAATGTGTACCTCCTGGAGGCACACTATATCCATTTTTTGTTTTACCAATTTCTTTAAGGTTTGATTTCGTTTAGATGGAGAATTGAGTCTATTTACATTTACTGACATTATTTTCAAATTATTTTCCATTTTCGTTCTTTGTTTTTACTACTTAGTTCCTGTTGTTTTTTTCCTGTTTGTGCCTTTGTTCTTACTCTGTTCTCTTCTTGTGGTCTTTCTTCTCTTTTCTCTACCTCTCCTTCCTGCTCTTTTTCTTTTGTTTCTAATTGTTGGTCTTCTTGGCTGCTCGATTCCAATTCTTCTCTGTTGCTGCCCGCTTCTTCTGTTCCTACCAGTTGGGTGTGGAAGTCTTGAGCTTTTTCCAAGGTATCTATCTTAATCTTGCCACGACACCAACATTCCCTCAGGTGTTATCCATCTAAACAGTGTGTTATTTTTATTAAGTCGAGCGGCTGGAAGCGATATTCTTTCTCTTGTTCACACACTCTTTTCGGGATTTGCTTTAGCATAATAATTTCTTTTCCTCTATAGGACATAGGCTCATCTCTGGTGATTTTGTAGATTATATCCTTTGCTTTTTTTTCTCGTGCAAAACGGATATGGACCTCCTTTGACAATCTGAATCTTCTGGCATAATTCGTGTAAACCCGGTAAACTACGTCCAATTCGTTAATTATTTCACTCTTACCTCTTTGGAGAGCTTCTGTGATTATTTCAGCCATTATTGCTGTTAAGTCTTCTTCCTTCGTCTCTTCCACATTCTGAAATCGCAGGTAGAATGAGGCTCTCTCCATTTCCAGCTGGATCAAAGTGTTTTCCACTTCCTTATTCTGTTCTTTCATTTTCTGGTCCACCGATTCCAACTTCTGTTCTGTTTTTTCTGTTCTCTTCTCAATCATTTGCAATCTTTTCACTTCCTCCATTTCTATCTTCATTTCTTCGTGGTTTCTAGTCATATTTTCCTGTAGCTTTATCATTGTTTCTTGTATAGATAATAATGTAGCCTGCATGGTCTGTGCGTCATCACAGAGGTTGTTTTGTCTGTTGTGAACATTCCTTCTATAGATCTTTGTGTAGATGGGGATGGTATAGCTGTTTCTGGAACGGGTTTCTTCCCAGTCTTCACTGTAGTTGTTGTGGAACTTGTCATTTCTTGCAGTATTTTGTGTTGCTGTCTTTAGTATTTTTTCTATCCTTTCCCACAACACCATTCAATGTTCTCCTGATTTCTACTTCTATTTCTTTGTTTTTTTTTTCTTACCTTGCAATCTACAGTTCTATATCTTCTATTATACCTCGGGTAGTCCACTAAGTTACAACAATTACTTATGCTATGTAATTTTACTAATCAATCCCGTTAATCAAAATAACACTCATAATAGTGATTTAATTGTTCTATTGGTTCTAATTATTCTTATATACTTCTGTTATATTTATAACTTAATATTTTAAATAGTTAAATGTATAATTAAATATTTAAACAGTTAGTTAATTAGCAATTTAAGATATACTTGTACAATCAATATCCTATTTCTAACAATCAATATAATTCTATAAAGTCACAGTTCAATATCCCAATATACTTTTGATAACAATTATACTTTGCTAAGAAAAACAAACTGAATCCAAGTTGTATCAATTTTTACAATCCTTTTACGTTCATTATATTATTTTCTTTAAATTGTTTTGCAGAACCAATCCTTTAATTGTAAACTCTTCTTTAAATTCTATTCAATATTACCTATATTAACACAAATGTTTTAATATTATTAACATTGAATATAATGCACCACCAAAAGAGAGGTAAAGAAAAAAAGAAAAAAAGAAATTTAACCACAATATTTTTAAATGTAATATTCCAACCTGACATTTGATTTTGAACAAAATTATTTTTTGAAACTCCAATCAGGTTGCTGTATCTTGCTGTAGTGCTGAAAACTGTAGTCTTAAAAGAGTTAATTTTAACTTTCCACTTTCAAAATGTCCAGCTCTTACAATTGTGCAGTCACAGTCACTCTCCTGTCCTTATTTTTTCCTCTGCTTCTTTGTTTCGTCTTCTGCAACAATGTTATTCTTTTGAAAGCTCGAGGAATTTCAACCACACTCTCAGTTTAACCACTTTCACCTCCTCCAACAGAACACAGATAATCTTACTTTTTCTTCTCTTTTGTTCTTTCTTCACAGTTGCTGGCACCCCCTTTCTTCCTCTCCCTGTTCCGCTCTCCTCGTTATTTCAATCCATGTGCCACCTTGAACTTTCACTTTTACTGTCACTTTCTGGGCTCTCTGTCTCTTAGCACTTTCCCAAAAACCAAACTCTTTCGCTCTCACCGCTTTTGACACACCGTTCTCTCTCTTTGCTTCCCTTTCTGTCTTGCAGGACGTCAGATCTCTGGGTTGGCCATTAAAGTCCGACTCTCCAGCTCCAGCGGCTCCTCCGCTTGCGCTGTTGGGGATCACACCTTCCCGCTACGGCTCCGAAGGTTCCCCTCTTCTTCGCTGACCCCCCCCAGGGCCGGTTTTTGCCTCGGATGGTCACAGATCGCTGGATTTCGGCAACGGGAGGCAAAGCGCTGTCACCCTGTGCTGTTCGGTCCCACATCACCACCAGAAGTCTAATTTCTCTAAATCTATGGAGCTGAGGATTTTTCTTTCCTAGGAAATGAACAGAGGCAGCCCTGGCACATGGTTTTGAAATTAATTTGCCCTAGAGATGGCACCTGAGAGACAGTGTACGATCACTCTATCTTTCTCTATATATTTAAGTGCATCAGTAAGTTTTTGGATTGTCTAAAATTGACTAAAAGTGTCAATTTACATTAAATCACCAATATTTCTCATAGAAAAAGGAAATGGAAAAATATAATGTGGCAGTGTTAATAGTTTTGGCCAGCAGGGTACTGTAGGATGCCATCTAGGCCGAAAACGGGCCATATGGGGGCTGCCCACACATCCTGTGCCCCGTTTTGGCCAGCAGGGTGCTGCAGGAGGCTGTCCGTCCTGTCTCCCCATCTACCAGCCCACAATCTGGCCCTCCAAGATATCCAGTTTGACCCCTGCTCTAGACAAACAAATCTTCCACAAGCTTCAACTTACATGAGAAATTCTTAAACAGACTGGCTGCCAAAACTCATTTGAATTCCACTTTCAATCTTATGAAAATGAAGGTGTTCAGATGTTTTCTGCCTGTCAATTGTGACAGAGGGAAACATAAAGAACACTTGGAAAGCAGCATTCTGAGCACTCAATAACTGCTTCCTTCTTAAAGAGAACTGAATAAATTGGCTATGGCAATGGGGTCCACCAAATCAAAACCAAATCCAACTAAATAGTTGGTTGACAATCCCACAGTTAATAAGTGAGATGATTTCTTATTTTAGCTACTGGCCAGGTTCAATAATATCTCCAAATTCTGGTGCTAAAATATATGTATACTAAAATATATGTATACTGCCATCTACTGTAATCTCTTGGAGTTCAGTTGGATAGCCTCAGTAGACAGCATCCATTTTATTTGTGGCTTTTTCAATGCCACATTTGTTGTGTTAATTTGACCATAATGTCTTCATTTAATAGGCTTCTTAGTTCTGGTTTATTATATTGCCTGGTGCTTTTGCTTTAATATCAAATATGCTGTTGACATTTTTGTTCTTATATAAATTCTCACTGGCCACTGTTTCCCAAACTGGATGGCTTTGTGATGTGTGGACTTCAACTGCCAGAATTCCCCAACTAATATAGCCATTGCTAAGAATTCTGACAGTTAAGGTGCACACATCTCGAAGGCATATGGAGTGAAACTTTTCAATAATCCTTTAACTGGGTTGATTTAAAATGCCTCTAAGAATTAGTGGAGTCACATTCAATGAGAAAAAAGCTAACATTAGTAACTTTTACACTTCCAGTGCTGTTTACAAGTTCCATGATCTTCTGTTCAGGAAGTTTAATAGATACGGAGCGGGAAAGCAGGTTAGTGAAGATTCTTTGGGGAAGTGAGGGGAGCTGGGCGGGAGCTGGAAAGCAAGTGCAAGGCAAACCCCCCAAGGGCTCTAGGCAACTGGTGTTGGAATGGGAGTAGTGGCAGGAGGTGCCCCACTGGCCACCGCCACTGAGTGAAGAGGGCTGCTCCAGCTGCCACCATCTCACTTCACCAGCATCAGGCTCTGCAGGCCAAGGGGCTTCGTCTTCCACCCCTCCACCACTTTGCTTCATCCTCCACCCCACCACCACCTCGCTTAATGGCCACGACACTGGTGCATTGCTCAGCCTTCTGCACTGTTGCGGTGGCAAGGAGAAGAAGCATCATCCTCCACCCCACCTCATTTCATCCTCCACCCCTCCCAATGCCTCACTTTGTGGCTGCAGCACACCCCCACCTGCCTTGTATTGGCAGCAGCCAAACAGAATGGGCAGGTGGCCAGCTGCACAGGCTCTTAAGTAGGACTTACTTTATTTTTGGGGCAGGTCCTATTTTCGGGGAAACACAGTAGTTCCTAATAATTTCCCATTTCACAGTAAAATAATGTATTAAGACACTTAAGAATAATGTTAGAACAATTAAAATACATTTTAATGAAACATACCTAGAGGTATTTGAGCTATCTGACAAAGGCATATCCAGACTGACTGGACTGTTGCTATTGCGATCACTGCTTTCATAACCAGATTCCATCCTTTGGATCAGACGAGGATGCTGATCCATTCTCTGATGTGCACCACGCCCTAAAGTCCATTGTTTATACCTGTTGGACCGCCTTGATTTTGTTTCACATGCTGGCTCCTTCAGCTCATCTTCTATAAATTCTTTGGCTGACAAAGATATTATATGAAATAAAAGGTAAATGGAATTCTTTCACTTAGTATTCCAATACAGTTCAGTTTCTGGAAGCACAAATTTCAGCCCCAGAAGCTCACTGGCTGATTTTGGACTTCTACCACATTTCCCTAAAAGTAAGACCTAGCTTGATTTTTTAGCATGCTCCTAATATAATCTCTACCCCCAAAATAAGCTCTAGTTAAGATCGTCATCAACCGGGGGAGGGGTGGGCAACTACCGGAGGTGGTGAGGGGATGGGGGCCGACAGCAATTGCAGCCTTTGCAGTGATTACCTGTCCAAACAGCAGGCAGAGGCGGGGGGGCAGGCATGTTATCCAGAGGCACTGCACGGGCTATGAAACAACTGAGTCAGTGGACTGGAGCAGGGGAAAGGCACACAAATAGGATGCATCGCCTGGGCCACAGGCAAGCTGAGAGATGCAAAGATAAGCCTCCCATGGCTGGCTGCCTCCATCTCTTGGCTTGCTTGCAGCTTGTGTAGCGCATCTAGATCGGGTGCCTCCCCCCATGCCTCTGCTGCCATCTGCTGCTTGGACACGTAATCAACTCACCTGCGCTGCACAGGCTGTGCAGCCCCAGAGTGTACCAAGTGGCTAGTGGGCTGCAGCCGCTGCCAGAAGTCAGCCCCTGTGCACTTGCTGCCTTTTGTGTGTGTGTTGGGGGGTAGTCGGGCTGCTTACCCTGATATCATGTTTCCCTGAAAATAAGCCCTAATGCTCATTTTGAACCTTCCAAAATATAAGACCAGGTCTTATTTAGGGGAAAACATGGTAGTCAGCCAATTTACCTCATAAGGTTGATGTTGTGAGTTAAATATGAGTAGGGAATTCTACATACATTCCTTGAGTTTGTGACAGAAAGGAAGGCTATAAAATAACTGAATAAACAAATATTTGCAAAAAAAACTTGGTACCATTCTGCTCTATAATATTTCATCTTAAATCCGTAATTAGATTCACCATAATGTTAGGCTATAATGTACCTTACTTATTTATTTTGTGTGATAATGTGAGTACAGCTATTTAGTTTTTGCATAATAAAAATGCTGAATCAAAAGACAGATTTAAATCTTTTTCGATGCTATACACTGCATGCACAATTATTAGGCAAGTGAGTATTTAGACCCTGTCATCATTTTTATGCATAGTTCCACTTCCAAGCTATATAAACTTGATGTATATTTGTATAATGTGGCCTAAGGAGATCAACACCCTATTTCAATTATTAGGCAGTTTCTTTTCCTCAGGCAAAATGGGCCAAAAACAGATTTACTTGACTCTGAAAACAATTGTAAAAAGTCTTTCAGAGGAATGCAGCACTCTTGAAATTGGTAAGATATTGGAGTGTGATCACAGAACCATCAAACGTTTTGTTGCAAATAATCTACAAGGTCACAAGAAACATGTTGAGAAAAAAAAAGATGCACATTAACTGCCAAAGGTTTGAGAAGAATCAAATGTGAAGCTGCCAGGAACCCATTATCCTCCAGTGCTGGCATATTCCAGAATTGCAACCTACTTGGAGTGCCCAGAAATACAAGGTGTTTGTCAATTTTGGCTGAGGCATTCCACCCCCACCCCTACCCCATTCCTCAGTTGTCACACAGATGGGGGTGAGGATAGAGGTTTGGAATGCTATTCTAAGAGGTGCTAGACAAAGCACTGTCAGAAGCTGGTAGAGCAATAAAGGAGGGGAATGCCTGAAGAGCTTGCCATTTACCCAGTTGGGCAACGTGATCTGCTGACACTTGGGGGAAGGGAATCATTTACTCTTTTATTTATTTAATTAAATACATTTATTTAAAAAGAGAACATATTTAGAACTGGGTTCACATTTGAATGTGCCGAAAAAGAGAATCTTCGAGAAGACTCAGGGAAGATGGTGGATACTGTAGCCACTAATCTAGAAGGGGAGGCCGTGGAGTGGGTGACAAACCTCTATGACGAGATGCACCAAAGTTGAGGAATGCCGGGGCTTTCCTGGAGGAACTATGGACCAGATTCAAAATTGAGACGTGAGTCCAGCAGGCGGAGGTGGAGATACAAGGCTTGAAGGGGCTGCTAGAGAAAGAATACATTAGGGAGTTCCAGAGGGCCACTGGGAAGATACGGTACTGGCCTGAACAATTGCTCATCTACCACTTCAAAGAGGACCCGCACTCCAGACTGTGCAATCAAAATCATACCAGGGATGAAGCCCAACATGTATTCCATGTCCCCTAGGGAGCTGAGGGAATATATCGACAAGAACCTAGCCAGAGGCTTCATCCAACTAGTGAAATCCCGAGTGGCAGCTCCAGTTTTAGGGGGGGGAGAGACAGGACTATGAGATTATGAGTAGACTTTAGAGGGATTAATAAAGTATGTGTGGAAAATATGTACCCCTTCCCTCTGAGGAAAGACATGCTGATACACCTGGCTAAGAGAAAGATATTCACCAAACTAGACTTGAGGGAGGCTTATTACCGGGTCAGGATGAAAGAGGGGGATGAGTGGAAAATTGCATTCAACTGCCCTTTTGGAAGCTTCCAGTTCAAAGTGATGCCGTTTGGAGCCCCCACAGTGTTTATGCAGCTGATTAATGAAGTGCTACACAAGCACTTCAGGGGGTCCTAGTTTACTTGGATGACTTGATGGAAGAATGCGTCAAGATAGTCCGTCAGGTCCTTAAGAAACTACTGGCAGCGAACCTGTACGCTAAGTTGTCCAAGTGCGAGTTCTACCAGACCCGCTTGGACTACCTGGGTTACCAAATGTCAAGTAAGGGTGTGGAAATGGACCACGCAAAAGTGAAAGCCATCTTGGAGTGGCAACTCCCTCGTACCCACAAGCAGCTACAGAGATTTCTGGGTTCGCAAATTTATATTGGCAGTTCATCCCTTAGTTTTCAAAAGTAGCCCTGCTGATCACAGACTTATTGAAGACAGAAGTACAGCATCTAAGCCCCGACCAAGCCAGCTCCTACAATGGACTATGGAATGCCAGAGGCATTCGAAACACTAAAGAGGTTGTTTGCAAAAGAGCCAGCCCTAAAGCACCCCGACCCCGAGAAGCCTTTCATTATCCAAGCTGATGCTAATAATGTGGCCATAAAGGGCCATCCTCCTTCAGAAGAATGGGGGGAGGGACTTACAGCAGTGGCTACACCTCTCAAAAGCTCACTGATACTGAGAAGCAGTGGGTGTTTACCATTTGACGGGCTCTGATGGCCTGGTGGCATTTCCTAGAGATTTGGAGTATGGACTGATCACTGAAAACCTAGAGGCCCTTAAGACCCCTCACAAGCTCTCACCCAAACACATCCAATGGCTGCAGTACTTCAACTGGTTCAACTTCATCTTAAAGTATATCTGGGGAAAGAAACTTCCTGGCCGATACTCTTTTGTAAATGCCCCAGTACAAGAACAGCAGGGAGAAAGTGGTCAATGCAACCATCCCTCTCCCTCAGCATGCAGCCCAAGTGAACATGAGGCAACAAGCCAGAAAACGGTTAGCAAAGCCCAGTGATGAGTTGACTCAAAAACTCAAGGCCTGGTTCAAAGACCACTGCAACTCCTGACCATCAGGGATGGGTTAGCATGGAAAGGGGGCCAAATTGTATGTCCCAAGTACTCTATGAGTCCAGGCTTTGCAGAGAAGTCATGATGCCAAACAAATAGGACACTTTGGATTTTTCAAAACCCTACACCTGGCCAAGAGACAGCTTTGGTGGCCAAGAATGAAAAAGGAATAGAGAGTTATGTGAGAAGCTGCGCAACTTGCATAGTGATGAAGAAGAGACTGGGGAAGCCGCCTGGATTGCTGAAACAAGTAGCTGAGCCGAGCCGACCCTGGGAGGAAATTGCAATGGATTTCATAGAGAAACTTGCTAAGAGTGACGGAAATACAGTTATTTGAACAGTAATTGATCTATTTCTGACATAGCCTCACTTTATAGCCTGTCTCAAACTACCCTCAGCCCACAAACTCGTGAAGTCGTTCCTGAAGCACATCAGGGAGAATCATCTCAGATCGCTGGGGGGGGGGGGGGGGGGTGTCAATTTATGGCCAAGTTTTGTAGGCAATTGGTTCCCCCCAAGGTCTTAGCTCAGCTTTTCATCCAAGTACCAATGGTGCAGCGGAATGAGCTAACACAATGGTGGAACAATACTTGAGATGTTACGTTAACTACCAGCAAAACAATTGGGCAGAGCTCCTGCCAATTGCTGAACTTGCATATAACAATGCAGTGCATAGTAGTATGGGACTCACTCCCTTTAAGGTAGTGAATGGAGTGGAATTTGTCCCAATGCCTGAATATTCTCAGGAACCCCCCTTCTCAATCAGTCTGACGGAGCGGGTTGATTTGTTGCAGAGCGCTTAGGGACATGTAAAGCAAGCGCTATCTAAAGTAGCAGAGGTTCAAAAACAGCAAGCAGATAAAAGGCGGTCCCCTCAGAGACCATTTCACATTGCAGAAAAGGTTTACCTCTCCACTAAATACTTAAAATTAAAACTGCCTTGCAAGAAGAAGGCCCTAAGTTCCTAAGCCCATTCACAGTAGTGAAAGTCATCAACCCAGTCACAGTGGAGTTAAAACTTCCCCACTTACTGGGGAAAATGCATCCTGTCTTCCACAGCAGGTTATTGAAGCCAGTAATAGGTTTGGAGCTAAGACCAGTAGTTCGGGTTGCTCCCAGTAGAAGGGGAAATGCATTACAAAGTAAAACAAATCCTAGACTCTAGGTTGTATAAGGGGAAGCTACCGTATCTAGCTCAGTGAAAGGGTTACCCCCTGTCAGAGGCTACTTGGGTAAAGAGTAAGGATGTAAGGGCAGAGGGGCTGGTTAGGAAATTTCATGACAAGAATCCTCAGAAACCAAAAGTACCACATGAGGGAAGAGGAGGTTAATAGAGAATTAATGTGTGCCTGTGCTTATTATCTTTCATTTGCTTTTTCTCTGTAAGGGGAGCCAATTGTCACCTTTCAAAACAACTGTGGCTGTGGCATTCCCCCCCCTCCCCCGTTTTTCAGTTGCCACACAGATGGGGGGGGGAGGATAGATGTTTGGAATGTTATTCTATGAGGTGCTAGACATTACATAGGCAGAGGCTGGTAGAGCCAAGGTCATCTCAACAAATGCTGAGCAAGAAAGGAGAGGCGTGCCTGAAGAGCCTGCCATTTACCCAATTGAGAAACATGATCTGTTAACCTTTGGGGGGGGGATCATTTACTCATTTAATTACACTGAACCACAGGACATATTTACAGCTGGCTTCACATTTGAACGTGCAGTTATGATGTACCCAATAAAGAGAATCTTTGAGAAGAATTCCAGTCTCAGAGTTCTGACTTGGTGGGGATCATTACTTGGAACCATCACAATGCTTAGTACTCAGAGACATGGTCAAAGTAAGGAAGGCTGAATCCCAACCACCAGTGCATAGGACACATAACTTCAAATGGCAAGACTGGGCCAAGAAATATCCAAAGACAGATTTGTCAAAGGTTTGATGGAACTGATGAGATGACTCATCTTGATTGACCAGACGGATGGGCCTGTGGCAATATAATGGGCACAGAGCTTCACTTCGACTCAGATGTCATCAAAATGGAGGTGGGGTACTGCTATGGGCTGGTATTAAAGATGAACTAATTGGACCTTTTTGGGTTGAAGATAGACTCAAAATCAATTCCCAAACCTACTGCCAGTTTTTAGAAGGCATTTTCTTCAAGCAGTGGTATAGGAAAAAATCTGCATCTTTCAAGAAGACTATGATTTTTATGCAGGACAATGCTGCATTGCTTTTATCAAAGTACTCCACTACGTGGCTAGCCAGTAAAGGCCTTAAAGTTGAAAAATAATGACATGGGCCCCTTCCTCACCTTACCTAAACATGATTGAGAACTTGTGGGCCCTCCTTAAATGGAAGATTTATGGTGAAAGAAAACAGTGAACAATATCTGGCAGGCTGTGGTTGCTGTTGCACAAAAAGTTGATTGTCAACAGATCAAGAAACTGACAGACACCATGAATGGAAGGCTTATGACTGTTATTGAAAAGAAGGGTAACTATATAGGCCACTGATTTTTTTAAAAATGCCAGAAACATTTATGTGTACATTTTGGATTGTTTGTTTATTATTCTCACTTTATCAGATAAAAATAGAGATGGGAAAATTTTCATTTTTCATTTAGTTGCATAATACTTCTGCACACTAATAGTTGCTCAATATGCACACATAGATATTCTCTTAAGAAAACCAAAACCTCATTTTTCTTTTCTTAAATATTCAAGTTTGAGGTTTATTAACATTTTGGATTGACTGAGAGCACTGTAATTTTTCGATAATAAAATTAATCCTCCAAAATACAACTTGCCTAATAATTGTGCACACAGTGTATATCCACTTTTCCTCATCCTTGCAAAAATTAACCTCTAATGGTTTCTAAACCTTCTCAAATTTCCTTTATCTTTTTATCTAATTGATATACTGCTAGGCAGAGATTTATCCAAACTGAATTTAGATACCACCAGGGGTGGGATGCTGCCAGTTCTGCCCAGCTCTATAGAACCGGTAGTTCTGAAGAGCAGCAACCAGTTCTGTGTCTGCTGCTGTTTGGCCCACCCGCCGGCCCGGGCTCTTACCTGACCTTTATTTCCTGCTTTTTCAACCTCAGCTGCTTTGCTCAGCACAGCTGAGGTTGGAAAAGCAGTAACAAAAGTGCCTTTTCAAATGCTTATCAGCTGTCCAGGCAGCACAGCTTAAGGTTAATACACATGCAGAGAGCACGCGTCTGGCACGTGTGCGCCCAAAGCGCGCATGCACATGTAAAACGTAATCACCGAACACCAGTTGAATCCCACCCCTGGATACCACCCTTTTACAGAAGTAAACTTAAACCTTATTTAACATTCTTTTCATGATAGTTTTTTTCTTTAAATTAATACATTTTAAAGCTTGTAGGATCAAGCCAATTTCACTATTTTTGCAGAAGCAGCAGCATTCTGTGATTTGTTGGAACCAATTACTCAGCAATGGTAGAGTCCATTTCATTGGCTTTTACACAGGCTTAACTATCATATGTTTTGGGATATTTTAATATGGATATATGCATTGAGTAGTTGCTTGATGGCTTACATGGCCCTTCCAGTTTGCTGATTATGGCCCATTAATCTTACATCAAATGCAATCAATAAAAACAAGATATATACTTTTTTGCATACATAAGAAAAAAGTTACAAAAAATATCACAAAGAAAACAGATGTAGAACCTTTGGAACCATTTTAAGACACATTCTCATCCATGTTATTGTATTTTACTATTTATTTTATTTCATAAAGTCAGAATACCAAAGCACAATTGAATGTTCAATGTTAACCATTAAATGTTAACCTCCTATTTCTTTGCATACTGATATGTAGGAAAAATATTTGTTTGGATAGTATCAATGACTCTTAATAAAGAAAAATATATATTTCATTCCATTCTGTATTACACATCTTGACCATTTTTACCTGCATCTTCTGCGAAGGGGCTGAGTTGGGTATAGCCACTTTGTTTTCTCTTTTCTTTACTGAAGATGCTGTCTATATTTAGCGGCTCTCGTTTGGGTCTCCAAGGTGGTCGGTACTTGCAAGAAGAACTTGACTTTGATTCGCTACTGTTGCTCTCTATTTCCCAGTCTTGAGAGTGAATGGTCAAAGTTCTGGGTAGTGACTGGATTTCAGCCTGATTCTTCCCATGAGGGGAGCCCTGATGCGTCTGCGAAGGCCTGCTGTGGATCATGTTGCTAACTGTCTCTTTAAATTCCCTTAGTTTGCTGGTACCATTCAACATTTTAGAGGCAGTTCTGGGTACCTGTTTCTCCTTCAGTGTCTCTCCTATGTTTTAAGAGTAGAAAAATACCATGTAAACAATATAAACATCTTCAGTAGACTGTTTTCATCAAATTTCTGAACTGATACAGTCCAAAAAGCAATCCAGTCCTAACTCTGACAACACAAATGAAAGAATCCAATCATTTTCACCTTCACTGTGATATCCAGATGGCTGTGCTTCATCCCCCTTCTTTCTAGACCTGTTGTTATTTCTCTTACGGTCTGCCAGAGAACTCTTTTTGGTAGTATGTCTCTGATTACATTCACTATCAGTCAGGTGACCTGAAAGAAAAGATGTAAAACACATTACAAATTATAGTTCAGCATGTTTTTAAAAAAGCTTTGTTCATTCTCACAGACTTTAGATACAAAAACTATCCACTAATGTTTTAAAATTATTTTTTTTAAAAAAATCCTAGCTTTATTTTATATGTAGAATAAAAACCTTAATCAAACTAATATTGATTTCTATAAATTCTATAAAGAACCTACAGGAATTGAAAGCAGGATATTGCACCTTCCTTCATACACTACTGATCCTTTATAACTGCCTGTCTCAACTTTTTTTAATCTGGAAGGCAACATATATTAAATTAGAATATAGACACTAAACTTATATTAAATCATGATAATTCTAAAATTAAAAATAAAGTGATAATATCTACAATTTAAATGAATTACAATTACGTAGAATGCACTGCAGATAATTGGCCCATCAGGGTCCAGTGTTGTTACATGAAACCTAGCTACATGCGCTGTAACAAAAGATAGTTCATTTATGACCAGCATCTTGGCATAGACTGAATCTGGGCAATCAGATTATCTACTAATCAGAGGTAGAATAAATCTGATTCGGATGTCTCTGTAAAAGGAGCGACAAAGAAGAACATGTGTCATTTCCACCTCTCCTAAATCATAGCAGTAAAGCCAGCCAATGGTACTTTTTTATCTTTAACATCCAATATGCAGAGGGGAGAGCATGGTATCAGATAAGAGAGAAAGTTTTCTGATGGCTAGGTGTTTCTACCTGCATACTGTAGCTGGCAGCAGTGACAATATATCTGTTGTGAGAGAACAGTCAGTTCCAGGACCTTTCCCCCTCCTGAGTTAAGACCAATAATGGTCTTACTTTCAGATGCTGATACTGAGAGCCATTTAGTTAAGTCCTCATCCTTACAATGAGGGATCTCCACACATCCTCTGAAAACGTAATTCCCAGGCTTTAGGAGGTATTTGAGAATCTAATGGGGTAGAAGCTCTGGAAACCTGAGGTGCCAGAAAAGAGCAGACTTCTTTTTCTTCACTGATTCAATAAATTCTTCTCAGGGGGTCCTTACATTTTTCTTCTTAAAAGCCACTAGTTGTTTATATTTTTTAAGGGTTAGAAGGTATTATTGTCACCCATCTCAGATTTCTAAAAACGATAAGTTGAGGTAAATAGAGGTCTTATCAAATTATGGCTTTGGTGAAATTGAAGGCCATTTAGCAAGGAAATTGGGATCGCAAGTCAATAAAGACCGTAGCTCTTGCACTAGAATTCTGTATAGACCCAAAGGATCTTGACTGAGGTTGGCTGACATGGGGGCCGATTGATACGTCTGCCAATGCCCTCTTCATCTTTTGGTTAAGCTGCAGGATCCATTTGATATGACATTTTGCTTGACCTGCTGGAGAAGTTGAAGGAAGGAAGTGAGCCCTCAGGTATGTGAAATATAATAGGGTACCAGGTTCATAGTAATTAGCACATAATCAATGAATGGTATTAGTTCTGCCAGAAATGTGAATTCCCCTACATAATCTCCTACAAAAAATCATGTAGTATAAGAAGAAATTGATTTCTAAACTATACAACCCATGTTTTATAATGTTTACAACCACAGCAGAACAGCATGCAAAGAATTCCTTTCACTGCATGACTTTTTTTTGTCAGTCAACATCTTTTATAGAACCTGGTGACCTCTCTTGGAACTCTAGGATCTTGCAGAACCCCAGCTGGGAGAGGGTGCTCTAAACCAGAGGTCTCCAACCTTGGCAACTTTAAGACTTGTGGACTTCAACTCCCAGAATTCTCCAGCCAGCTCTGCTGGCTGGAGAATTCTGGGAGTTGAAGTCTACAAGTCTTAAAGTTACCAAGGTTGGAGACCTCTGCTCTAAACAATGTAGTATCCACAAATCTCTCAGAATGGACCAAATTCATTTATTATTTTTACTGTTCTTCTTGGACCCATCATCTATTTCTGATAGGTAGAAACATTTCATATTAGCACAATTTTTCTATTTGTACTTCACATTTTTAGTAATTGACATATTGGGGAAGATAAGTAAATAAACTTACCTAGCAGCAAGGCATTACTGTGTAATTTCAGCTAATATTTCCGCTTAAATATTTGCCAATGATTTGTAGCATCTCTCACAAAAATACAGAGTTCCTGAAAAATTTGGGTTTCTTTGACTAAATTATTTTTATTTTTTTCATATCTGCAAGTCAGTTGATGCTATATACAGGTTTCACAGTACACCTGTGTGTACTGAGTTGCAATAATTAAAATATAAAGACAATTATTAGTGAAGGATGCTTTTTTAACATTAATTACATAAATAGGTAGACAGACAGACAGATATAATTTTCTCTTTTTTCAACTGATTGAAACCAACATGTGAAGTTCCAGATATTTCTAAACTTTAATTTCCATTAACCTTAGTCATTGCAGCCAAAAGTAAGGAACACTGAAACAGCAATCCAATATTTGCCAATGAACGTTAAAGAATATATTCTGAAAGCTTGTTTTGTGCCAACATCCAAGTGAGTTTATTACTCATAAATTCTATGATTTTCATCCCTAAATTTAAAAAAAAAGGTTTACCTGTGTCCCTGCTGCTTTGCGAAACCACATCATTTTCCACATTATAAATAATAGTTCCTTGAGAATCAGAAGAAAAGTGGCTGACCATAGATTCATGGTGCGAATGTTTATGCAGATAGCTGTCTGTAGAAGAATCTGTTCTAGTGTCACTTGAGATAGAAGGTTCACGTCCTATTGAAAATAGTGAACATTTTTGAGAAAATGAGAAAAATGTTAACATAATTAGGGTAAATACATTTACCCTAATTTCTAATTACATTTCTAAGACAATAAAGATGGAAGCGTGGAAGCTGCTGACAACTCAAATAAAATGGAATTTTGAGAAAAGGTTGCTCAATGAGCACTAAAACATCTTGCAATCCATCTCCATCGTCCTTCTGTATGCATACATTCAACCACCTTGTAGATTCTCTTTGCCAGTTATCTGAAGGTAATGTTGAGAAAAAGGATCAAACTATAAAATGTTTCTTTGTTGTCCAGCAATACTGCATCACTTACATCACCTCTGCTCATGCAAGTGGAGCTTCATGTGCATATGCAAGAACACATCGCTTGCATGAGTGTAGCTTTGTGTGCCCATCTACCCATCGCTCATGTGGACCATTTCAAATAGGTCGTAGACTGGTAGTGGGCTGTGGACCGGGGGTTAGGGATTCCTGATCTAGCCAACTTGGCTTAATTTTTAAAATTATCATACTTTACATATCAGCCAAACCTGCAGAAGTGTCCTGCTTACCCAGGCAGGCAGGGAATAAAGCCCAGAGATAATGTTTTTATTATCTGTGTACCATATTGATGATTTTTTTTTAAAAAAGGAGGCGGTTAAATAAGTAGAAATTATCTTTATGCATTCAGACTTTCAGCAGGATGTTAAGCTATTTTTTAAAAAAATCTTCAGTTCTCTGAATAATTCACTTTGAATTTTTCATTATCTGAATTTTTATTATTAATAAATGCTAATAAATCCAAAATAATTCCTTATATGGAAGTTTTTTTTAAAACCAGGCTTACATTCAAATACCACTATATTTTTCAAGAATTTAAATTTAACATTATGAAAAATAAAGCATAAAGGACTTTATCCTCTAATAATTTTTTCTACCGTATGTACAAAAATACATATGATATTCAGACTAGTTGAATTTCAGATAGGCAAAGAACTAAATTCCACTTCTATGCCATTTTGCTGATATCTGATAGTTCACAAGTCTTTATTTATTGCCAATACCATTAATATTCATATCATATATCTTGATTACTACAAAAAACTTATGTAGAACTTCAAAAGGTTACCTGAATCTTCACTATCATAATAAGTTCTGTTATACTGTGGTAAATCCTGTGTGGATAGATTCTGGGTTGATACTGGAGTTCCCCTTGGGTCTGCATAAAGGAGTAGCAAGGGTTGGTAATGACCCTTAATGCACTTAGTAACAACATCTTTCCATTTAGGGCCTATCTGAAAATATTTTAAAAAGTAATGGGAGGGGGGTCATTTTTGATACAATTAAGTACAACAAAGACATTGGTCGTAACAAATAGATGACCAAAAATCCAACTGACAATGGGAAACAATTATTATGCTGTAAACAACATTAATTACATACAAACAAAATATTATATTAAAGGCTAGTGCCAGTCTAAGATAAAGAACTTCAAAAAGCTCTTTAAGATTATTCCATTAAGAACTTAAAATAACAAAACATACCGTATTTGCCGGCATATAAGACGACCCGGCGTATAAGACGACCCCCCACCACCACCGGAAACGCCCTCCAGAAATCCCCGGGGCTGCAGCGGCAGGGCAGAGTGCCAGGGGCCGTGGGAAGAACAGGAAGGCTGCAGCCTCGGGCGGAGCGAGGCGAGCGGGATGAAGCGGAAGCGACGCAGGGGATCCAGGAAGCCAGAGGCGCCTTCGCTGCGTCCAACAAGCATCCGAAAGCCGGCAGTGGATATACCGGCGTATAAGACGACCCCCCCACTTGGAGGCATGTTTTTCGGGGCAAAAAAGTCGTCTTATACGCCGGCAAATACGGTACTTGAAAGCAAAACATAGTTCCACAGCAAGCATTTACAGAGATTCCAGAATCTCTGTCTGAAAACAAGCAGCAATTAATTTGTTCCTGTTGTGGTTTGTAGAGCAAAACTACATGATGAAGAGGTGTGTGTGTATGTTTGTGTGTGTATTCAACCTCTTAGCACAGCTCAGTTTGTGAATAAATTTTTATTTTTCATAACTTCCTAATCTAGTTATCTATTGAAAGTTCTGTAGGTTCTTTTCAATTTCTTGCTTCTTCCAATTTATTTTATGTATTTATTTATTTACATTTCATGTTTCTAGAGCACCCATCTTCCTCAAGGTAGGATTAACCTGCTGCCATAAAGTTGATAGGAGATCGAAAAGCTAGATCAGAATTGAGCTGTCATTTTCAACAAATATACAAATGAAATATACAAATATTTCAGACAAATGGTTTTTGAATAATGTTGAGTAGTGGACAATTTATGTGGAAGTGATTGTACTCTGAAATATCTAACCAATGATACATTTATTCACTTTATGTGCAGGTATTTTATTAACATCAACCTGTAGTCATAATGAAATTAAAAATGAAAGTTAAAAATCTGCATTAAATGTTATGGCAGTAAAAGCATTGTTTAACCAGCATTGTTCATGAACAATACATGTAACAATAAAAAATGGAAGGTAGTAGTTGTTTTCTTAGGCTCATGAATAAATAAAGTTAGACAAAATATAGTTGAGATTCCCCCTATGGAAGAAGACAATGCAGATTTGACAAGATAATGAAGAGAAAGGATATGTCTATTATAACAAAGATCAAAATAGTTGATATAATTTTCTTTCCAGTGGTAACACATGGCTATGAAACCTAGCTCTTGAAAAATATGAGAGAACAAGAAACACTTTTGAATTATGGATCTGATGATGATTACTATGTGTCCTGTGGATTTCAGAAAAAAAATACATTTGTGTGTTGTAACAATGGAGTGATTGCCCTATTGAGGTACTATACAGAAACTCATCTAAAATGCACATAAAACCATTATGGGAAATCGAACATAAAGAAAAAGATAAATTATACAGAATAAAATAAAATTCTCCCTGAAAGTGTCAGCCCTGGATCCATCCTGGGACAGATTTCAGGGCTGCCACAGCAGGGGATGGGCAAGCTGTGAGAATAGGACAGTAGCGAAGGGAGTATAGCCATAACAACATTCTTTCACTAGAGATCAAGGACAAGCTTCTGGCACCTGGAGGGGTGTGGCCAAAGTTTGGCAGCAGCTGAGACAGGAGATTGATTGAGCCATGTTATGGGGAAGTCACTAAGTGTGGCAGAGTGTGACTTTTAGTGTGGATGGAGGGAAAACGTAGGAATTCAAATTTGGGTTTTCCCCAGATGTGCCAACATGACTTCTCTAATAAATTCTTGATGGACTTTGTCTCAGAGTTCTGAATTGCATGGAGAGTTTACTTGGAACGCTGACATTAACCCGAATCTCTTCTTGAGAACATTCCAGCAACTTCTCGCAAAGCTGTCCGGTGTTCTGAGCCCTGAATGCCCCCTAATCTAACGGGGAGCACAAAGACTCAGGGAAGATGGAACAGAGAACAATGACCCTTGAGGGAGCTACCGGATCCATTTCAGAGGACATTTGTGGAGCCATCTGCTATCCATTGGCTACTGCGGTAGTTGAAGCGGAAGGGCACCCAACCCAAGGAGCCAGTCCCAACCAACCAGACCAGCTGCGCAGCTAGAATTGAAGCTGCAATGATGACCCAAGCAAAGCTAGTCGCAGGGCTACCCGAGAAGTTTGATCAGCTGAGTGTGGGACCCACTGCTCAGACATCCCCACATCCAATCCAGCCTGGTTGGACCCTAGCCCAACCGACATTCAACTTCCCAGGGTCAGGGAGCATGGCAGTCCAAAGCGGGGCTTCAGCTTCATTCCACTCAGCACTGGCTGGATCAAGACTCAGCCTTCCCCCTTGCACCGAATTGTTGGGGCAATGACCCAGCAAAATGCTATAGCCAGTTGATACCATGGACCCCTGGGGCACTCAATCCCAGGCACCAGGGAGAAGCAAGGGGACTATCCCAGCCTGCCTGTCATCTGCCACCAGCACATCCCAGACTGCTGTCCGCTGACCAAATTCTGGATGGGCCTTTTACCCAGACCAGGGTGGGATCCAATACCAGTCGGTGCCAGCTTCTGTCCCACTGCTGATCCCACTGGCCGCAGCAGACCCGCCTGCATCACAATTCTTTGATGGCACCCCAGGAAAGCTGGTTTATTTCCTAAACGGAATCTGGGCCCACATCGATTGATATAGGGCTCAATACCAATCAGACAAGGACATGATCTCAGTCATTGTAGATAATATGGGGGGGGGGAGGCAGCAGATTGGATTGCTCAACTCCACGACAAAGAAGCCCCCGAGTTGGAAGATGTGGATGAGTTCATGAAGTTCTTAAGGGCGCGATTTGAAGACACAACTAACCGAGAGGAAGCTGAAGCAGAAATCAAGGGACTGAAGCTGCGTAGTCGGCCCCCCAAAGAATTTGTGTAGGAGTTTAGAAGAGTAATCGGAAAATTACAGGAGTGGCCGGAATTACTCTTTGTCCATTATTTTAAAGAGGACCTGGATCAGGACTTTAGGCAAGCGTGTGCCTATAGAGGAGTACCAGACCGGATCCAAGATTGGCGGTACTATGGACTTAAGAGATTCACCCCCACCGGAGGTCCCCGCCAGAGAAACCCCCTAAATGACCATTGGGACACAGACCAACCAGCAAACTACCAATGGAGTCGCAACCAACAGCAGTCCCTGGAATCAAGAGCTTCAGAGGCAGCCAGCAGGGTCACCAAGTTCGGAATGCCTCACGCTGGCTCCTATTCCTCAGGCGCAGACACCAGCTACAGCAAAGTCAAAGAGAACTCCCAGAAAACCGCAACACAAAGGAAAGTTTGCTCAGCAAGCCGTGGAGGTCCCCCCCCTTTGCAGTCCAATGAAGGGGGAACTCTGGCTCTGAAGGGTGTCGACACCAGTGGGAGAGGTGATGAGGACCTGATGGTAAGTGAACCCATCCGCCCCTTCGCCATAAAGTCCTGCATAGTAAGTTCCCCAAACAGGAGCCCATGTGGACCTAGAGGCCATAGTAGACACTGGATGCACCCGGTGCTTAATCAGCTCTCAGACTGTACAAAATTTAGAGATAACAACATTGGGCCACCCTATCTGCTTTGAACAAGTAGACAGTTCGCTAATTGGGGGGGGGCACACATGATGTTAGTTACCGAACCTGTAAAAAGTTAGAAATGGGGCGGCACTGGGAAATTATACACTTTGTAGTCACCCCAAAATTGACTGAAGCACTCATCCTCGGCTTAGCTTGGCTAGACAAGTGGGCCCCCACAACTACATGGGAAGATGGCTATCGTAAAATAAAGATAGGCATTGGGCCACTACCACCCCTTCTGCAGACTGAGAACTGGCCATCTTTGGGGCCCAGCAATTGCAGCCAAAAAGAGGAAGTGGCCTCCACCACGGAGGTACTGCCCAGTTGCCCAAGGATACCCAAAGAGTACTTAGACTTAGCAGAGGCTTTTAGCAAAGACGAGTGCAATGTGCTCCGCCCATCGACCCATGGATTGCACGATAGAATTTATACTAGGGGCGAAACTACCAAAGCCAAAAATATATTTGATGGCCCCTAAGGAAATGGATGAATTGAAGAAGTATATTGATGCCAACTTAGCGAGAGGATTCATCCAGCCCAAAAAATCTAGGATCGCAGCCCCCGTATTGTTTAAAGATGGGGCAGTGGGGTGAGGCTCTATGTTGATTTTCTTGGAATAAATGCTGTATGCGTAGAGAACACCTACCTCCTCCCCCTCAAGAAGGACATGCTCAACCATCTAGTGAAGGAAAATTGTTTACAAAGCTAGACCTCTGAGAAGCCTACTACTGCGGGCGAATAAAAAAAGGCAACAAATGGAAAACAGAATTCAATTGCTCATTAGGCAGCTTCCAATTTAAGATCATGTCATTTGGGCTACAGGGAGTCCCAGTAGTGATTATGCAACTCATTAACGAGGTGCTGCATGAGCACCTATACAAGGGAGCTTTAGTTTATTTGGTGACATTCTCATCTTCAGTGAGACAATGGAGGAACACATCAAGCTAGTGCGACAAGTGTTGAAAATACTCCTAGAAGTTAAGCTTTATGCCAAACTGTCAAAGTGCAAGTTCCACAAGACCTCCCTAGACTACCTGGGGTACCGAGTTTCAAACGACAGGATTGAAATGGACCCGGAAAAAGTTAAAGCCGTAGTGGATTGGCAACTTTTCCTGGGGTTTGCAACCTTTTACCAGCAGTTCATTCCCATGTTCGCTGGGATAGCCCTGCTACTTATGGAACTATTAAAGACAAAGGA